TGCATCCACAGGTTCCCTGTCCATGATTCCATATTTGCCATTGGAACCATCTATACATTACCAACTCCACACAAACACGTTCATCATCCACAATTGACTCCTTCATTTAAATGTATCCTAATGGTTTTCAGGATTGCCACGAACGCACCCATTAAAATGTAGACTAATTTAAAAAGTGAATTCTGAGCAAAAGGGACATTCTGGTGTTTTCTACATAGAAAGCACATTTATTACCGCCTCATTAACAGCATCGTCATTCTACCACGCCTCAGTCCAGAATCTCTTGCAACAGCAGTATCAGTGTTCACGCTGATCTCACAAGAAACTGTGGTGGGCTCTAATTGCTCTGTATTATGCCACAGGTTTGCATCAAGATTGCTTGAATTTTCGCCAGGATGTAATCACGGCAGATGTGTTCATATTCAGTTCAAATAATGAGATTCAAATCATTTATTAACTATTTGCATAAATGAATTTTTAAAGATTGTGGAAATAATAAGGGAGATCTTCGATTCGTCCACTGGCGTTGACGCCATGTCAAAATAGTATTTCATTGAAGACCTTTTATGAATAGTGTAGCAGCAATTTGTTGAAGTCTCTGGACTAACTCTTTATTCTCATTCGGATTTCCATATCCAGGCATAAAATGCTAAAGGCAAATTTCATGAGATGAAGCAAAACAGCCTCAGGTAAAGTATCAAAGTCCACCTAAACGTATCCTCTAACGACACAGCAAGCGGCTTGACGAAGCGGTCAGATCCACTGCAAAAATATTAAGCTTCCAAAATAGGCGAGGGAACTCAATGTCCAGTAAAATATTTGTAAAACTAAAAATACTGACATCGCAGAGTGGAAGTCGACGCTTTCAAATAAAAAAAAACATTTAACAGGGCCTATTTGGGCATGTTTCATTATCTACCCATTGCAATGCAGTCAAAATAAAAGACTGACCTAGCAAACAGGACGTGCGTTCTTGTAAATCCCTATCAAAAATATCCAGGGGCTACTTTTAAGTTAGCAGTTGTTAGTTTGTCAAAAAATCTATTCCATAGCCACACCGAATGAGGTTAACTGATCAAAGTAAGCTCAATTTCTGCTCAAAAACTAGATGCATAATCACTTCACCATAATTATTAATCAAAACATAAACAATCTTGATGCAGAACATGATTTGATAAAACCCTATTTGTCGTCATATTCTACTGCACATGACACATATATGTGACGTGACAAAAAAGCAAATGTGATGAGAAGCGTCGAAAACGTTTCATATCAGTGCAACTTTTATCAAAAAGAAGGCCAAAATTAGAACGGGCAACGATATTGTGCATTTAAACAACTCACAAAGCACATTTAGCATCCAGGCCAGCATTTAGCCTCCCAAGCGTGTTTGCCCTAGGGTATTTAAAAGTTACTAGGTAGACCACCTGCAAGTTGTCCCAGTGCGGCATATTTTGGCTACTTTTTAAAGATGAAAGAACACTGCCAAACGCACTAATCTCAACAAATGGATAAACTTGGTCTTGAAAATACACGCACCTACTAAGAAAATACCTGTAAATTTGACAAGCCAGTATTTCATGGGTTGCAGGCACCTACACAATCTTCAAG